TATGAAAGTTAAGCGAATGTTTTTTTTTTATTTAACAAATTGAACTATCTTACATTCTTCATTGATATTTTCCAATCCTTTCTACTCATACATGGATTGGAGGGTTTTGGTGAAGGCACACTCCTAGAACATGATCCTTGATCTTCATCCCTCAAATGTCAAACAACATTAATTCCATCAATACTAAAATATAATTAATATCCAAATTCAAAATCAAACTTTCAAATTTACTTTTACCATTAGGATTTGGGGAAGATTTGGCTTTGAAAGAGAAGCCATAACCTATGAAGGTGATGATTTGAAGGATTTAGGGAATGAGCATGGAGAGGGTGGGGTTGTTGCAATGGACAGTAGAGGCTATGAAGGTGCGATAATTGTGTGTACATGATGACGAAGGAGTGACTAGGAGTGACTGTTGCAATTTTTGCTTCAACAAAGGAGTCGGTTAAATTGGGTGTAGTCGTTGCTGGTATGCAATAGAGGTGCAACCATTAGTTTTTGCTTCAACGGAGAACAATGACTATAAAATGATGGAAGGGGTGGGCATCGTAGGTGAAGGAGAATGATATGACTATATGGAGTTCTTTGATGGGAGACTTTAATTATTGGAAAAAGTTAACGTAAATATTTAGGATTTGTAACTATAGAAATATAAGATTTGTGGAGAAACATTATAAAATAATATTAAACATTTTTGTTGATATGATAATATTTTAAATATATTTTAGAATGATATATTGATGTAATACATAAAACGTCAAGTTTTATATAATAAATAAATTTATTGTATAGGGCCTCTAGGTGGCCAAAACTTTCTAAACCAGTTTCTTGTTATTAGAATTGATTTAGAAGTTGTGGTTTCTTATTGGACAACAAATGATTCTTGAAATGATAATCAACTAAAGTCAAATTTGTAAAAAATGAAATATGAATTTGTAACATGTATGTAATAGAGAAAAACTAAGTCCACGTTTACTGGTTATAAGACTATAAAATAGATTACATAAGTAAAACTAATTTTTATCTTATAAGATAATTTTGGTAAGATTCAATTAAACGCATAATCATGAACTTAAAACAGAAAAAAATAACATTGATTAATTATATTAAATTTACATGGTTAATTTAACTTGATTCACTTTCTTAAGAGAGTAAATTAAACATTATATAGATTTAAATCAACGTATAAAATATTTTTATGATCACTCATTAATTTAAATTTATAAAATAAAGTATTAAACTGATTTCAAATTTTTGAAAAATTTGTAGCACTAGTGCAAAAAGGGGCTACTACGTCTCCTCATTTACGTCAAAAACTGGAACAACCGACGTTGTAAAAACGCGGTGGCAGTTCCGTAAATATAGAGGGGGAAATTTACGTCGGACATATGGGGGTCCGACGTAAATTGTCTAATTTACGTCGGACTATTTTGTAGCCGACGTAGATTGGCTAATTTACATCGAACCCCCTTGTCCGACGTAAATTTCCCCATATAACTCCCCACTCACCACGATTCCAGAGCCTTCCTCCTGTTCTCGTTGGGTTAGTGGTTAGGGTTTCCTCCTTCCTACTACTTCTCCCTTCGTCCCTCTCTTTACTTTGAGTATGTGAATGAATTTCAACTACACTTCTACGCTTCCCTTCTACGCTTCTTGCTACCACGATTCCAACATCTAACTGGAAGGGTTCTTTCATATTTCCTTCTTCTTGCTTCCCTTCTACGCTTGCCTCTGCCTTCTAATTTTTTAGACTTACTTTTTTTTGTTTTTATTACTTTTTGTGCCTTGATAGTTGATCTAGATGCTACGTCTTCAAGAGGTGTGGTTTTTATTACGTCTTCTCATTTTTTGTTTGTGATTTTAGATGCTGGAAATGATGATGTCAAGTTGAGTTCTAGGGACCAAAGAAGAGAAGCCAGAGGAAAAACCAGCAGAGGAAAATAAGGAGGAGGAAAAGCCAGAAGAAAAGCCAAGTCTGGGTTTTAGAATGGGCCGTTCTGCTTGGAGAACGGCCCGTTCTCCGTGCAAAACGGGTCATTCTGCTTGGAGAACGGCCCGTTCTACTTGCATTCGTTTTTCTGTTTTTTTTTTTTAAATTTTTTTACAACTTTTTATGTCGGACCTTGTAATGTCCGACGTAAATTTACGTCGGTTTTCGCGCCCCGACGTGAATTTACGTCTCCCGCTTCTACGTCGCATCTTTTTTCGACGTAAAACCCCCTAAAATGACCGACGTAAAATGTATATTTTGTACTAGTGTAGGTTTTATTCATGTATTAAGAACCTTTAATTTAATAGTTGAATTGTTAAAATTTGATATAAAACATAAATTATTGAATAGAATAAATCTACCAAAATTTATTCTAAAAATAAATAGATCTTTTATAGTTATAAATGCTTAATTATGTTTTCAATCCCTTAAATTTAAGATAAATTTGTTTAATTTCTCAAATTTAAAACTCATCTTTTTAGTCCCTATATAATTTATAAAAAAAATCTTGTATTAATCTTTATACTCAAACCTTGTTAAGAAATATTTAAATATTGTCACATAAAATCTATATATATACTAGTGTTTCTATTAGTGAAAATATCACATTGAATCTAGTTGATATTGCAGTCTGCATGATTGTTTCAACCTGTCACTTTCAAATATGTTATTGATGCTGAGAGACTAAAATAAAATTTTTGAAAATTATAAGGACTAAAAATAATAATTTTAAATTTAAGAAAAAAAACTATTTATTTATTTCATGTGCTATATTTTGGACATCAGACATGTTCCAGTGCCAGTCTGTGTGTCATGTCCAACCAAACACTTAGATACGAAGTACATAGGAGTGATGATAATAGTAAGGGGTGAATTTGATGGTTTATTGTTGATATTGTGGATGGAGAATATGCGACATTATCGGAAAGTTGAGATTGGAACCCAATTGTGTAAAAATTGTCTTTTTCTATTCTTACATTTGAGCTGCATGATTCAGAACTCAAACTTGTATTTGCTTCTGTATCTTGGTCAAAACTTGTTTTTCCAATGAGTTAGTTACTTGTTAAAAAAAAGTTAGTTGGCATTAGGAGAATGTGCATCCTTCAAATGATAATAATTATCAATGGAGGAAGTATTAGACATCCCAATATATAGTTCACGCATACAAAAAATGGGAATACCAATATTCTTATCTAATTTTCTTATCCTTATCTTTTTTATTAGTTCTAACTAAAAACGTCAAAATGGTTCATGTATGATGCATGAACTACAATATTATAAAGTATGCAAGTCTAGTTAATAAAATAAAAATTAAATTTTCATAGTCCAATTAAGGAACCGACTCGTAACGAATTGTGTTAGTCTTTTAGTTTGAAATTATCATTATTATTTTTCTTTTGATAATTATATGAACTGGTGTGAAGTATCTATTAATTTTGTTAATAATTAATTTTTTTTATTTTGAAAATTTTCATTGGATAGATTATCTTTAATAAAGTTTCTCCTTTTAACTATTTTTTTTTTATTTATATATAAAAGGATTGTATTAGATTGAAATTTTAAAAAATATTATAATTTTTTTGTATTATTTAATTATGATTTTTTTAATATAAAAAGTTAGGTAATATTTAATTAAAGAAATTATGATCTCTATAAGAATATATTAAAATTTTATTGTATTTAATTAAGACAATTTATTGTTTTAGGAGTATGTGAAAAAATTCTATTGGTATTCAAAAATATAAAATTATAATGAATTATTTTTTAAATGAATTTTGTGAGTTTTTTTTCTTCTTATTTATTATCTATTTTCTCTCTCGTCTTTTTTCGTTTCTCTATTTCTTTCCTTTCTCTCTTTCTCTTCTCTCATTTTTTTTTTCTCTCTTACCTATTTCATCTTCTTTTTTCTTTTTTTCTCTCCTTTTCAACTCTATTTTCATTTTTTTATCTCATATTTTGTCTCTTTTTATTCATATTTCTCATTTATTTTTTTCTTACTTTTCTCTTTATTTTTTCTCCTATCTTTTATTTATTTATTTTTTATTTTTATTAACCTATCAATATATCTTGCTTTCATTTTTATCTATCAATATTGATGTATAACTTATCTATATTTGTTTTTTAATCATTAAATATTTAAAATTATTTTGGATTGTTAAATATTATATATTATTAAAAATTTTAAATTATTAAAATTTAACAAATGTTTATTTTTAATAAAAATTAATATTAAAATATCAAAATTTAAAACATACTAAAAATATATTTTGACAATTCTATAAATTAATGAATATAATAAATTTGAATATATTATTCAAATTCAATAGTATGAATCATAAAGTCTAAATACATAGAAAGTTGTATGTAGAAAAATGTTAATTAAAAGAATATGAAATCAGAATCAATTATTTGTTAAAATATTGAAAATTTTATTAATTTTAAATCTTGCTCTTTATGTTATCTTTTTATTAATTGTATTTTTTTTTAAAATCCGCATTGTGCTTTGAAGTCTAATAAGAACCTTTAAAAACTTATAAGTTCTTAAGATACACATTAATTAAAATTCATATCACAATATCTTAATAAAAGTCATTACATTCATACAATTTTTTTTAAATAAATCTTAAATATTATTAAATTATTACAAAATCTTTTAAAATTCCCGAGACTTTTTTGAAAATATGTTTATTTTCATTTCATTTTTAGATAATTATAAAAAAATATATATATTCATTTACTTACTTTTAAACATTTCTATTAAAATGCTGAAAACAACAAAATTATATTTTCATTATTTCTCAACAAAATTTTAAACATAAGAAATAAATATAAAGTGGTATTTTAATTATTCATAAAAATAATAAGCAATATTTCCTAAACTAAAATACCTAAAATTTTGTTTCCCTGGATTTTGTTTTTTACAATTGACTTACATATAACTGAATGTGGTAGTGAACATAAGAAAACAAGATTAACAATAAAAACAAAAAAAGAGTGTTAGGATACTGACCTGTGTGTCTAAATCTGATGAAGAATCTGTAGAGTAAGATGAGGAAGCAGTAAGTAAGGTGTTGAATGAAACTGACCCCGCATTGTCACTGTTTCTGACCAATTCATTTGCATTCACTTGCTGCAGTAAACCCAGTGGCCACCCCTCATCCTACCATCAAATCAATTCTAACCATTAAAAAAGTTTCAGAGAAATTAAAGCACCAACTTCACATATACCAGACATACAACACAAGACAACGAATCACAAAGAAACAACCACGTATTGATCAAATCAAGTATACGCAGACCCACAACCTCAACCTCAACCTCAGATGAGAGGAAACAACATGAATCCCAAGGAGAACTCGTTAGAAAATTCCAAAACCAACATGGTGCTGTCAAAGGTACCTGTTGAGTCATGTTTTGGTCAAATACTAGTTCATGAATTGAATGCTTATAACACAAGGCCACCAAAGATCGACGTTAGATAGGAGTGCAGGAATCGTCCACTCCTTCTTGTTCTGTGCTAAGCATAGAATCTGCGAATGAATTATTGGGAAGAACTGTGCATATAGAGATGCTGTTGTTGGTAATTAGAGTGGGCAAGAATGGGGTCAAAATCAGTGAGTGAGAGTGCTTATCATTTGCAATAGGCAGCACCTTTTTCTATAGCTATGTTGACTATAAAGAGAAACAGAATCATTGTGTCGTTACACTAGTACTAACGGTAACACCTCTAAATAAATCCCGATTTCATAGTCACTCGGATGCTCTTAGTAACTAATCATTTGTTTCATACAATGGAAATAGGTATGAAATGAAAAGAGAGTAAAAATAAGTTTAAGTTATTTACCGACAAGCATGTGGTTATCTACTAAGGAGTTATTTGCAATGGATTTTTATTTATTTATTTATTTATTTATTAACTTTCACTTTATGATACGATATAAAGGACTTAGTGGAAAGCAAGGGAAAAACTGAGAATGTGAATTATTAATATAGGCACTTGAGGTTGAAAGTGTTCTTAATGTGGAAAAGATGAAAAGCGTTTTAGCAATTATGAATAATGGGTGCGCAGTGAGGTGAGCAGGATCCTATGAAAAGTGTTAAAAGGAAATATTCTTTTCAGTAGTGTTTAATAAAAGACAATCACAAGCATCTAAAAAAATGTCCATAGTCACTTTCTGAAAAGCATCGCTAGCTAAAGCTCAAACCCCGGGAGGTGTTTCGCAGAACAAATCACATTGCCTGCATCATTTTGGACTACATGCGTACTCTCAATCATAACCCTTACTTACAGAAAACATAATTTCTCTAGCCGATTGATTTTTAGTTTTATTTTTAAAATAAAATAAAATAAAATTTCCATACTTGGTACACCATATTCCTCCTTGATCAGTATTAAAAAAAATGAACTCATAACTTGTTAATAGTAATTTGTTAAAAATATCATTTAGTTTGTTAGAGAATTGTTACATGAGTCCTATAAATATAGCACTTGTGTATTCCTTTTGTATCTTTTATTCAATCAATTTTAGAATAATATTTTTATGACCCTTCTCTGCTTTATTTTGAGCTTTATAATAATGTATGGCTATAGTATGTTAGTGTTACTTGTCTTTTTCTTCAAGCTTCTTCATCTCATATTTCTGATACAACTTGCACGTTCCAATTAATTTATCACAATGGCAATCAAATTCAACATGAAACAATCACCATTACACGGAAATAGCTAACAGCAGGAAAATCGAAAATAGAGAAATTGAAGGACACAGATGATAGTCTCAACTCCCAACCCAAGGAAAATCAAGAGAGAAGCTTCTAACAACAATAGTTCTCAATCATTATTAAAGAACAGCTTACTTGAACTCACATTCATTCCAGAAGAATTCGACTGAAAAAATTGGGCCCGTTTCCTGGTTTGAAACTCAAATTGCTGCACCCAATCTTTGGGCCATTTAGTTACAAGACACAGTGTAGCACAAGGATGCTGACAGAGAAACCACTATATGTGAAATTACGAGGTCATCAAGAGATGCATTTGTGGCCCATCAAGGAAAAAAATTCTTACTATAACCAGTCACTAGGTTTTGGGCTTTAGAAAAGAGAGGAAAAAGAATAACATTCGACCCCATCTATTTTAATACTAATTATTACATTTAATTAATTTAATTTGACTGTGATTAATTATTTTCACACACATACAATAATTCACGTATTTCAGTAGAAACCTATTTAATATTAAATCACTCAAATTTCATTTTAATGTACAAACATATTTTTAATTTATATAAATCTATAATATTTTTCCAAGCTACTTATTATAATCTTTTAATTATATAAATTTAAGTCAAATATAAATCTAAACACAAATATTAAAACTATTTAAACAATTTTTTTTATCTATTTATTTTTCACAAATAACAACATTAGAGAGAGAGAGAGAGAGAGGATATTGCAATATTCAAGCATTCATAGGACGGAGAATCTCTATAAGGTATGGTATCTCAAAATTGGTAAAGTGAGTATCTCAATTGTATAATTGATATATATAGTGAAAATCCCAACTACATGCATGGGGACTGGATGTAACATTCTCTAAAGCCTGAACTCTTCATTTATTGGTTTAATATTTAACCGTTATTAAAATTGAATTGATTCTCGGATACAATTGCTTGTATTAATCTAGTTTCACAATTTTCATTTGTCATTGATCAAGTCTTTAAAATTTCATCATGTTACCTTCTTTCAGTTGACTTTTCCATTTTTCAATATCCAATTTTTCACTGAATCTTGTGTTTTGTCAACCTAGATCATGGATAAACAAACAAAAGAGACTAAACAATGCAAATCATAAGTAACTAGATAAAATAAACAGTGTACCATAATAAAAATAAAAATTACCATTTATCCATGAAAATTACTTCAAGGAACACCTTGGAGAGTTTTGTTAACATACTAATTCATGTCTCTTAATTAATCTCCTAAGTTGAGATCATTTTAACCATGTGTCACCCATATTAGGTATATGTTATGAGCGGGGAAAAATCACAACAAAATCAACAAAATCTAAAAAAGTTAGTCCTTGTTGCTTCACTTGGACGTGCATAACAAATATAGATGTAAAATGATTTCTTTTACTAGAATAATACTTTTTGATTTTAAAATTACCAAAGTTGTATACTTTATTAAAGTCATTTGCATTGTGTAAGTCAACTTTAGTTTTATAAAAGTAATTTCCTGCCGTTTTTATATTCTATATATTAAAATCGACTCAATTTTTTTTATTAATATAAAACGAAGAGAAATTATTTTTAACAAAACCAGAATTGTTAAAATTATATTTAGCTGGGTGGTAGATACCCAAAAACTACGTTTTTTTTACATAAACATCAAAACTAAAAAAATTGTGATCTTGTAAACGTTAAAAAATAATTATTTCTTATTCCACCTGAGACCTGAACACAAGATTACACCGTACCACATAGATAGTACTTACTCCAGAAATACCAAGTGTTTTTTTTTTATCTAATATTATAAAAATAATTATACTCAACTACATGTAAAAAAAATTATGCAATTCAAATCACTTAATAATTTGTTTCATCTATTATTATTGTGCATATAAAGTGTACTATCCCCTTATGATAATGATATTTTACATGAGAGAAAAAATGATGCGAAATAGAAGAATTGTGTTTGGAAGAAGAGTCTATGGTGGGCAGCGTGGGTTTACGCACTCGAGTGGTAAAAACGAGGCATGGCAGAGGGTGAAGGGAATGTTTTGCTTTTCTTGGGAAAGTCAATGTATCTCATTTCCATTTCCGAATTACTACTTTCTGATGACCCTCCAACAAAGTCAATGACTCACTCCACGTTCCTCCAAATCATCAATTTTTAGAATCCCATGACACTTCCCTTACTTACCCTAATAATTCCATCCATCACTCAGATCACATTAATGATTCAAATTAAAATCTACGCCATCCCTCATCATATACATACACATTTAATTGATCATAAAGAAAGCGAGCAATAAATTCAATTAATGCTAGCTAGATGGAGAGCCTTTATATTATACTACGTACCAAAATGAGAGAAAGACATAAGAGAATTACATTTGTCTCGAGTTACAAGTGCATCACATAAAATTAGTAAGATACTAATTAATGAGTAACGATGGAGATAGATAAATCAATTCAAGGCTCACCCTTGTGCCACGTTTTTGAGTCAGTCCCCGAACACTGTTTGACTCTCTTATGCATAAGGCCATGGCCAAGATCCACCACACACGGCATAGGGAACAAAGATTCCAAGTCTTTGGACAGATCAAGCACGATCCTTCGTCGACACGCTTTCCTCTTCGTGGCTGCCCTTGGTTTTGTCTTCTTTGGTGCACCAGGACATTCTAGGATCGCCGGGATTTTGTGATCCGATGATGTTGGAGTCTTGAACCCTTCGTTGGAAGAATCATCATCGTCATCGTTCTTTGATCCCACGTGCGACGGAATCTCTATTTTCAAGCTTATAGCGTTGCGTTGGTTTCGCTCCTCTTGGTGATGATGATGATGATGATGATCACGTTCTTGCACCGATAATTGTTTGAGTCTAACAAGCTGGTGATCTTCTTGGACTAAAGATTGAAACTCTTGGTGTTGAATTTCGACGGCGGGTCTTACCAATAAACTCATTTCTTGATCCATGTTGTTGCTGGCTCCTTTGTCGGAGAGAAAGACTTTGGAATTGGAAGACACCCCCATGAAGAACAAAGGATGTTCAAGATGGAGATCAAGCTAATCCTAATCTAAATTGATCACTACAAGGTGGATATAGTGGAGTAGAAGAATATAGGTGAGAAACTTAGGTATGGCTAGGTAGAGAGGAGATAAAAAAGATGCATGGTGTAGCTATGAATATAAAGTAATGAAATGGTTCCCTTTTTCTAAAAGGAGTTTCTCAACCTTGTTTGGATTGTAGCAGTGTAGGCTTGGTTCTTTCTTGGTGTCATGTGTGCTCAAGAGTTATGAGAGAGAGAGAGAGAGAGGGTTTGAACTTTGAAGGCTCTAGCGGAGGATCCAATGCAGATTAACAAGAAATGCTACCAATAAGCATTTTCTCTCTCTCTCTCTCTCAATATATAACCTGCACGATGGGGAAAGTCAGGGACTTGTACTCTGCCACTCGCTCAGCCATTTAAGACTATAAATGCGGGTTGAATAAGTCTTCATTTTTTATAATATTATTTTATTTATAAATAAATGTATTTATAAATTGCTAAACAGTGATATTATACAATATTACTTATAACATATTTTTTAAAATATTTTTATTAGTTTATTAAAATTATAAAATTATGAAAGAGATTCATATAACATATAGGTATAAGATTTACCAAATTATATATGTGATGCAACAGGTTAATAACACTATACATGGCTGGCATGGCAAATACTAACCCCATAAGAGATTCATGGAGAATTCGATGATGGTAGTTCCAAAGTGGTGGCATTGGCATAGTCCAAAGAGCCCAGGAGATGTTGGAGGTCGTAATGTATTCCTATGTATGAGAAATTATTAAATAGTTTTAATTAATCATCATATATTTGTTTATTGAATCTAATATAATTAAGTATATATATAAGCCATTTTTCCTCCTGATTTCTACGAACTTTGATGCACAAGGCACGTGGTTGGCAACAGGAAAACCATCTGCTGTTAACGTGCGCTACTATTCTCGCGGTGCATTTGACTTTAAGGATATTAATTAATTTGTTCTCATATTTGTTTGTCAATTTATTTTTAATTTCAGGTGTGGTAATTAATCTTCGGTTCCTCTTATTTAACACTTTCCCATACTTTGCACATAAAGTTACTTTCCTATATAAGTAATGTGAATTGCGATTGACTTTGTGGTGGCGTAAATTGGGGTGTGTAGCAGATATTGTGTTTGTTGCTGGATGCAATGGCAGCAGAAAATGTTGCTCACTATTAATTGAGTGGTATAGTAAGTGTCCAAAGTCTTTCAAAAGAAACCAATATCCCCCAACAATATAATTGCATGTGTTCGCATAGATCTCATTGTGCTTTCAACTTAATTGCAACTTAAATAATAGCTTTAGCTTTAGTTCTCATTTAAAAATTAACAATCATAGGCCAATAGATAAGTTCTACGCTCATATTTTTTCTATCACACTGACTCCATCACTCGTCCAAACATAGGTAAAGTCCTAGGGCTAGTATAAAAAAAAATACTATCATCCTAATAAAAACATAATAACTTACAATATTACTGTTTTTTTCTTTTTAGAAATGATGTCTGTATTAATTTTATATCAAAAAGAAAAAAAATGTATAAGATATTTTTTTCCTATTACTACTAGCAACTTGTATTTCGTATTCCTTATTTATCAAGTCAAAAATTAATCTTGTTTGTAGTATTATAATTATCACTTATTTGAGAATTTTTTGCATACAATATATGAATTATAAAAAAGATTTTCTGATTGTTTGTGTATGAATGTATGGTGCCTATGTTAATCTATTGAGTTTAACTAGTAGCAAGGGTTATGTATAAGATAAAATAGTTAATATATATTAAAGAAATATACGAAAAAACAAAATAGTACTATATGTATAATATAATGATTTTCTTTTTTATCTATAAATGAGTAGTTTTATTGGAGCTACAAGATTAATGACTGGCTTAGGCGTTCTCGTAGTCATTGCGTATGTAAAATACTCATTAAGTTATTACAGTAATAATTCTAAGATTTATAAATACCTTAATAAAAATTATAAATAAAAATAGTTGGATTTATTTCCTGTATATATATATATACACTTTAAAAGTAATACATATTAAAAATTATTGATTTTTTTATATATAAATAGTAAATAATTATTCAAATTTAATATATCAATAACTTATGTAAACGTATTTAAATATATAAATTTTAATGATGATTATTTAACTTTTAACATTTTTATAATAAAATATTAAATAGTTGATTGATTGATTAAATTAATTTATTAATTGTCACAATTATATACTTTAGATATAATTTATATTAACAATTCATATATATTTGATATAAGTCATTTAATTTAAACTTGATGTTATCGGATTCTTGCTCATTTTATATTAATTTAAAATTATTTAATATATCATTTATATGCATTAAAACTAACGTAATATGTAATCTTTAAAATATATTAATACATGAATGGTTTAATTTCTTTTTTATTTGTTATTCACTTTTATTAAAATTTAATATTAACATTCGAAAAATTATAAAACTATAATTCATTAGATGAACAATAGTTAATAAACAAATTACATTGATATAGTTTGATTTTGCTCTACATATAGAGATAGAGATATAACATTAAAAAATGGGATAATATTTAGTGAAAGAGAAGTTACAAACACAACTGGATAAAATTGGATGGTGAGATTTTGACAACACAAAACAGTTGCCCTTAAGTCTTGAATTGCAAGGGATCAAGATCCCTCATAAATTCATAATACCTGATATTCTTTTTCAGAGTTAGCTTTGTTTAATTTACATATTATTGAATTTATTGTTATTAAACTAATATCTCTTTTTGCTTGTCTCATGAAATGAAATGCAATTAGACATCTTTAAAAAAAAATTACTATACATATTTGTAATTAATTAAGACAAAGTAAAAATATATTTATAATCCAATGCATATATTATTTATTCCATTAAAGAAACATTTTATTACTTTAAATTTTCAATTGAAAATAGTAAACCATTCTAATTAAAACATGTTGATATGCAATTATGCACGGATTTACTTTAAAGAGACAGTACTTGATTGGATTTTCTTTATGTTGAGTGAGAAAGCTAACAATGATCTAGAGCATGGAATTCAGTTAAATTATTATATATGTATAGAGGCATATATATGTTATGATTTGGTTAAAAATTGAGGAAAAAACTAGAGATAAGCCGTGAAGTAAAATGGTAGGATGGCTGCAGTTGAAGAGGTGAATATATATTAATTTGAGAAGTGGGTCCCACTGCCGGCCATTTCTCACGTACGTTGCTGATAATTGCGTAGGCAGGTAATAGATTAGACGTGTTCCTTCGGTTGCACTTTGGATTCCCAGACTTTACCACCAGCCATACGGGGATTTTATGTGAGTTTCGTTTTTTGGGGATATATACTATGAACTAACGTCAAACAGACTCAGGGAGAACAACATTTCAGAACCTAGCCTCTTCTATACTTTGTATTTTAGGAAAATGCATGCTTCATCTTCTCCTAGTCCTAGTTTAGAGAAAATAATGCAAACACATGAAACATATATAAAGATAGAAAAATAAAAAGATATATATTATCCATCTAGGAAGAATAAATTGACAAATGGAATATGCAGAAAAGAGAGGACCCAATTAGATTTGCCTGAATTTCACCACATCTTCGAACATGATAAAAGTGACGTATCTTTAGGACCACATCTAGGCACTTTCTCGGTTTCTATACTTTTCTTTTTCTTTTCTTGTTTCAGAACAAGAGTTAAAAGCTAGTTTATGGAAATCTATTTAATAGACTAATATTGCTAAATAAATTTTTTACATACACAAGAACGCGATTATTAAACTTCTAATCACATGTTATTCTAGATTTTTTTTTTACTTGTCACGTGATCGATAGTCTTTGACCATGTTATTATGTAATGCATTTCATATATAAATAGGTATATAATAAATTATGTTTATTTTCTACACACATTTTCTAAACTACTAATTTGGGTGTGTTAAAGTATTTGTGCAGGAGTTTGTAAATTCTACTTCTCATCAAAGATGGATGTCCTTGATCAGAACTTTCGTTCTTGCCTAAAGCATCAAAACATGCTTAGAAAACATACTTATTATTTATCAACTAGACTACGTACCATATATGATGGTAATTTCTATACTTGATTTTGTTCGCTCCAACTGTAAGTAGCACTGTATATATACTCCATGATTATATCCGTGCTACAACTCCTATTTTTCAATTGGTGTCAAGCGTACTTGCTACAGTATATATGAAGCCAAGCTGATGATGTTTTTTTCTTAATACTCCTTCTTTGGCACCATTTCCATTTTTCTTAAGCAATTTCTTTGATACTTCAGATGTTTGGTGTTTCACAAAACCTCCAAAGCTATCAGTCCGTAGTTAAGGAAATAATAATGAGAGATGAGAGGCAACATGTGATAGTGTTCAAAAAGTAACACCAAGGAATGTATGTATCTATTTAGTTAATTAGTTAATTCACGTCTCGTACGATTTTTAGGTTTCTCGATGAATTAATTCGGGAAAACCATTGATCAAAACATGCTCCAGATTATAGTGTGATTTTAATTAATATATGAGTAGTAATGTACTAGTACTACCTAAGCATAGAAATTAAGAAATGGAAAGGCATAATAATGTGGGGTAGGAACAGGGAGAAGTGTAAAAAGTAAAGGGAGCATAACACACACTCTCATGGGGCATAATTGCAGCCCATGCTCATGCTTAATGATTTTGCTTCCCATCTCAATCATGTCCCCATCCCTAACAATCATGAACCAAATTTCGACCTCTCCCTTTCCTTAATTTCCTCATCTATGTAATTAGGGATGGCAATGGGACCCATGGAGGAGGTAATAGTAAATCTGTTCCCGTCCCACTGAATGAAAATTGGTCTCATATCCAACTCATATCTGCGCGGGTATCCATAAATTTCTTGAATACCCACGGATATCTCATGGATATTTATAAATTTTTAAGAAATTAAAAAGTTATATTACAAATAATTTTAAATTTATATTTAATGTCATTGAAATATTAAAAATAAAAATTCAATGTTAATTTTGAACTTGTATTTAATGTTAATTTTGTTGAAATAATAATAAAAATGCAAGATAATCAATAACTTAAAATACATCAATTTCACAAGTAAGTTAAAGTCTCATCACAAAACTACAATAATTCAATCTCATAATTCCAAACGAAAATAAACAACTTAAAATACATAAATTTTATTGGTATAATCAAAACTAGAAAATTAATCAAATTACATCTAACATAATTCTATAACATACTTAACACATGTTGTTAACTCATCAACCTCACTTTTGTAGGAAAATAAGATGAGAGAGTGTAGTTTTAGGGCTATGTGGTACAAGGATAATTATGATATTTAAGAAGTATTATTAAACGGGTACCCACGGGTATGAATATCATCATACTCGCCCCCGTCCCGTTTATAAACGGGTGAAAATTTATCCGTTTTCATTATTCGCGGGTACCCAATTAGCCTATTCATTTATTATCCGTAGCGGATTTTATCCGCAGATACCTACGGGTGCGAGTATTTTTTTCATTCTTATATGTAATTAACTAGTTTAATTTTATTAACAAAAGTATTGCTATAAAAATAATTGTTTAGATAATTATAAGCTGTTAACTGATTAGTCTATTAGAGATCAGATGTTCCCGTGGGATCCTATTGCATAGGACACGTCTCTAGAGCATCGGATTCTTCGCTCTTGTCGTATATAAATAAATTTAGAGTGGAATATAGTTTGTCGTATATAGTTTATGAAATTATTATAGCCTAAATAAATTTAGGGTAAATATATTTTAGCTTTAAAAGGATTTTTATTCCTTTTTAAATTACATATGTTTAAAACATAGAAATTAAATATAAACTAAAACTAAAAGAATTCATATGTTCTATTATATTTACAAAATTATTTTCAAGAATGTAAACTTGAGAATGTGGTTTTTCATATTTATTATGAGCTTTAAAAAATCATATTGTTGATTTACGTGTGAGTAACATTCCAATAATATTCTAATAGCGATTCTATTTTTAAGACGGATTCAAATTTCGATCCTTAATTAAGAAACATAAATGTTCAACTATTTGTGTAACTTTTGGTTTTTTTTATTATTTTTTATTATAAAAAAAATGATTTTACATATATTAACAAAATTAATTGTGTATATTAAATTTTACTAATTAAATAATATTCTTTTTAAATTGTCCTTGTTATAAATAAATAAAAAAATTATACAACTAAAATGTCATATATTAAAGGAGAGAGGCATTTTAAAGAGAGTATAGGTAAAAGTGGCTATATATGTTTTTTGTTGTTAATAACAAAAAATAAAAGGAGAAGAAATTAGTCATGAGTGAAGTTTTGTAAATGAAAAAACATAATTATTATGATGAGATATCTTATTAAAATAATCAATTAGATTTTCCAATAGAAATTAGTTAAAGAAAGTATCTCTCTCCCCCTCTCTATATATATATTAAAAAATTGATTTGATTCAAATTTTAAAAAAAAAATATTTATAAATAAATCAATTTTATTATTATCAGGTGTTGATTTGGTTTAGATTATCAAATTATAATAAAAAAATAGAAAAAAAATATTTAACCACCTAAAATTATCATCTTTTATAATTAATATTAGGTTGAGATTTTAAATTTTAATTTTATCTTAATTAATTCTTAAATTTTATTTTTTTACCAAAAAAAAAACACCATAAACTTAAATTTTGTTACATTGACCCTTAAATTTTTTTTAATCAATTTTTCAAATAAAAACCTTAATATCAATTTCATCTTAATTATATTCTTTAAATTTACCTTTTTATATTTATAGTCTTTTCATATCAAATTCGGATTAAACTGCTGAAAAAAATCCCAAACATTTATTTATTCTAAATCCAAGACATTCATTATATTTTTTTTTTATAAATAGTTTTGTAAACATTAAAACGATTAATTAAAAAAACAAATAAATGTTTTTTTATTATTTTATTTTTCATTTTATATATATATATATATATATATATATAATTGAGTTTTAACATATAAGAGAAAAAATATTAGTGAATATTTGATATTTAAGATAAATAATTTAATTCTAATTTGATAGAAATAACTATTTGTAAAAAAAAATTAAATAAATTATAATACAATTAAAGATCAAGGTCTCTATTTGTAACGATGGAAAATTTTAAGATTTAATTGAAACAAGAATTAAAGTTTATGTATCTATTTGTAAATGACAATGAGATAAAATTTAATGATTAATTAGGATTAAAAATATTTAAAGTATCTATTTACAAAAAGATGTAAAGTTTAAAGGGCGGGGAAGTAAGTACCCTTTTTCAAAAAATAAAATTATATTCATTTTCAATTTTTCTATTTATGCATATTATATGTTTTATATAAATATTTAATGTTATATTAATTTAAAGTAATATACGTATGTAGTCGATTTAGTAGTGAAAGTTAAGATATTATTTATAAGATTTTACGTTTGTTGTTGTCATTATAGTTTTTATAAATAAAAAAGTGAAAATATTTTTATTTTTTAATTTCCAATTATTTATTTGACTTAGTATTTACTTTTTTTACATGCCATTCACTTTACATATGTTACATTTACTTTTTTACCCATAATATAATAAGAAAATTATAACATAGACATGAGCAAATCAAAACACTTGGTAATAACCTATAGAATCACAAAAAGATCAAAACGAATGAAAAAAAATAAAAGATTAAAAAAGTTCTAAAATTTAAATGTACTAATCTAAAATTTAACAAAAAGTTATCGTGACATCAAGCTAGTTCGACGTCAAAAATATAAATAACAGAATCGAACTAATTACAATCGGTTCAAATTCAAAGTAAAAAAATAACATAAAATAATATTAACAGAAGCAATATAAACCAAATTGTTTTTAATGATTAGGTTACGAGATGAATCCTATGCAATAATACCCTACGAGTGAGTGATATTTACATAGTAAGATGCAGTAGCTGCAATGCATGTCGTTTTGCATGGCCTCATGATTTGTGGACGAAGTTCCTTTGTCCCTTATCGGCAACATTATCGTTAATTGTTCCTACATTTTCTTCACCATTAAACAACACATGCACCAACGTCTTGTCCTTCGTCCATAGCACAACGGGATAGATAATTCAATGTTACTTGTACTATCCGCGCCAAGCACCGAGCTTGAACTCGGCGCTGAGCCCCGCACGACATTAGATGAGCGCTACAAGACATCGACCAAAACAAATGTTCACTATCTGAACGGGCCACAACCAATCTCAGGTTCATAAATCCTAATTCACACTAAAGTATGTGCACTACATATACGAGACCTATACACCCACAAAGACTAACTTGAGCATCATAGTTTCTTTTGCAGGTACTACCCCCACTTCAGAACAGCCAACGTACTCGGAAGGCTCACCAATCTTGCCCAGTAAATCGTCCCTCACGACCGATCTCTGGTAAGAATATTACTTATGCACACAACCAACATCAGAACTAGAGTATTTAATAAGTTATTGATTTAAGTAGTATTAGACTGATTTTTTTAAATAAAATTTCATTTAAAAATAACATAACTGAATTTTTTTATTAAATATAATTAATTAGATTCTCTGATAAAGATCAGTTACAGTAAAACCATTCTCATCCACTAGATAGTTACCAAACAACGATGTAGAGCAGAATAACGTGCAGTTTTGGTAGCCACAGACAGAACTTACAATCCAAATAGCAATGTCCAATGCCATTTTATTTTATTCGAATCATCAACATATTCTCTCTTCTATCATTAAGCAAATGTCGGGCTATAGCTGTACCTGCTTTAGTGTGTTGTTTTGGTTGCGAAAGTGGAATGTAATGACATGGTCCAGTGGGCCAAATTTAGGCCCAAAATGTAGAAAGCATGGAAGAAGTAGTAGTGGTAGTGCTAAAAATGGGCCAAGCTAATAAAAGCAACGGAGCAGATTTGAAGTTATGGGGAGCCACAGATAGAAAGGACACGCGTGACCAACAACATGAATGTCGTTCGTTCATAGAACCGGACGTTGTTGAGGTAATGTCGTGTGGACATTCATTCATTTAAAGACCCAAACACATTGAAAGTTGAGTTTGATTTTGCCATTTGGGCGTCCTCTCCTCTATCTCACTTTTTACTTTCAGGTTGTGACTCTCTTACGCTTTCTTCTTTCCTTCTTTTTGTTTACCAATCGCATGCATGTCTTTCGTTTTTCGACAATGTTAACGTTGTAAACACCTAGGCTTTATCGATTTTGTATTGTAAGATCGCTGTTTATTCAAAATTTGAGATATAACGCCTTTTTCTTTCACAACTGAATGTATTTAATGTAACTGCATACGTCTCTTTGGTTGTATCCATATAGTTCGTGATTATGATCAATTTGTGATCGGTTGTTGTACATTACTTTTTGAAAATTGAAGTTGTTTGGTAATCATCTTTGCACTTGGTCATTGTGCAGATTTTGAAAGATAATGGCAGACACTGAGGATATTCAGCCACTCGTCTGCGATAATGGGACAGGAATGGTTAAGGTAAAAATAAAAGTAGAAAAAAAATACGAGGATGATTTTATTATTTGGTTGCAGAACAGAAGTCATTGGATAGTGTGTATGTTATATTGTGCTTGCTTGCTGTTTGTCGTTTGTCACATTCATGTGAATGGTTTTGGTTTCTACTAATTAATTTACTGTGAGTTTTTTGCACCGCATTGCATTGGTATTTGCAAGTGTAGGCTGGATTTGCTGGAGATGATGCTCCAAGGGCAGTGTTTCCTAGCATTGTTGGTCGACCACGTCACACTGGTGTGATGGTTGGGATGGGGCAAAAGGATGCATATGTTGGGGACGAAGCTCAGTCCAAGCGTGGTATTCTAACACTGAAATACCCCATTGAACATGGTATTGTGAGTAACTGGGATGACATGGAGAAGATCTGGCATCACACCTTCTACAATGAACTCCGTGTGGCCCCAGAGGAGCACCCTGTTCTGCTCACTGAAGCCCCTCTCAACCCAAAGGCTAATCGTGAGAAAATGACCCAAATCATGTTTGAGACCTTCAACACTCCTGCTATGTATGTTGCCATCCAGGCTGTCCTTTCTCTCTATGCCAGTGGCCGTACAACTGGTTAGTCATTCTTATGCTGCCTAATATAAACAATCAATGCTTTACAAGCTCCAATTTTCTAATGGAAGCAAAATATGGACCAGATATTCAAGGTTCATGTCTCAAACCACATGCTCCTTAACTAGTCTCTAAGTGATATTAATTGAGTGATGTTAAATTTTTCTCACAGATAAAAAAACTTAAATACACATCGTATAGTAATTGACTGAGACTATGGTCACTAGGTAGTCCTGAACACCCTAATAATTTCTTATAAAGAGGGTATTTATTTGTTACGTTAATTTGTGCAGGTATTGTTCTGGACTCTGGAGACGGTGTGAGCCACACTGTGCCCATTTATGAAGGGTATGCCCTCCCCCATGCCATCCTCCGTCTTGACTTGGCAGGGCGTGACCTCACTGATGCCCTGATGAAAATCCTCACTGAGCGTGGTTATTCCTTCACTACCACAGCTGAGCGAGAAATTGTGAGAGATATGAAGGAAAAGCTGGCTTATATTGCCCTTGATTATGAGCAAGAACTTGAGACTTCAAAAACTAGCTCTGCTGTTGAGAAGAGCTATGAGCTGCCTGATGGACAGGTCATCACCATTGGTGCTGAGCGATTCCGCTGTCCTGAAGTCCTCTTCCAGCCATCCATGATTGGAATGGAAGCTGTTGGCATTCATGAGACCACATACAACTCTATTATGAAGTGTGATGTGGACATCAGGAAGGACTTGTATGGAAACATAGTCCTCAGTGGTGGCTCTACCATGTTCCCTGGTATTGCTGACAGAATGAGCAAGGAAATCACTGCCTTGGCCCCAAGCAGCATGAAGATCAAGGTGGTTGCTCCACCCGAGAGGAAGTACAGTGTCTGGATTGGTGGCTCTATCTTGGCTTCTCTCAGCACTTTTCAACAGGTAAACATTCTCTCAGATGATTCACTGATTCTAATGACTGCAGTAATTTGTGTTATGAAAATGATAATCCAAAATGGTGGTGCCTCATGCACTTTATTACAACTGCATGGCTAAGACATCACTTCTCTGATTGTATTTATTTAGTTCTTGGTCTGATTACTTGATCTAAATCTCTCGATTTGATAAATTAATGTTGTTTGGATAAATCTTTCTATAAACATTTGTAAAATAAGAAAATAAGGATGTAAAATTAATAGAGCTTCTCTTGTTAGTTAAAACCACCTTATGCACTTAACTCTTATGGAAGCTCACTCATCTAACTTTTCTAAAAGATGAGGTGAACAAATTGATTTTAACTTATGAGAGAAGTTCAATTTATTCTTCCTAAATACTTATAGAAATGTTTATCCAAACAAATTACAGCTGGTTTGCTTGAAAATTTTGTCTCCTTCTCACAGCATTTGAGGTTCATAACCCACTTGGGATTTGTGTAACTGACCATGAATAGCCAGCGGCGTCCTCGAGCATTTGTCACCCTAGAATGTTGTTTTTATATGGTCAATTAATTAGGGATATTAATGATAAGGCACTTTTTTCTGGAAATGCAGATGTGGATTGCAAAGGCAGAGTATGATGAGTCTGGTCCTTCAATTGTACACAGGAAATGCTTTTAAATGCTGCAGAATGACTTGGTGTAGGTACGGTGTCCTCCTTTGGCAATACAGTAGCACCTTGCAATTCTTGAAGATTTTTTCCTAAGAAATGTTTGTGTTGTTAGAACAGTGAAGTGACATAAAGTGGAGTTTGATGGCAGAATTAATTCTTTCATTTGTTTTGTTTTTACCATTGGTAATTGTTGAACAGTTGATCTTTAATGATAAGTCAAAACCATTTCAATTTATTACTTCTTGCTTCCTCATATTCATATTCTTCCAATTAATAGAGCATATATGCTTCAAGTTAATTCGGACTTTCTAATCAAACTGGACCTTGGATTGATTACGTTATATGACTTGTAATAGTAAATAGGCTTCTGAGTTGAGATCTGTAAATTTGCAATTGGTACATAATGAGTTTTTTGAATGTCTTTTTGTTTATAGATGTAAATGTGTTTGTATGTATCTATCTCATTGTAGAAATTCTGTGAGGTGCCAAAGATTTATTTTCATTTTCACTACAAGAAAATGGAGTTGGGAAAGACATAATGCAGAAATAATACTATGTTTGTTTGCACGGTAGATAAACAAAAACCATGTTTTCTTATGTAAAAATATGGAAATTATAGAGTTGTGGTGCTGTGAAATAATAATCGATTCTCAATTTCTCATTCATCACACCACACCACAGCACAAAACCAACCACTTGCTAAATATGTTTTATTGTTTGGTAGCTGAGGCAACATTTTGAATATATTTTATATGCAAATATTGAAAATGTATAAAAAATCTAAATACTGAAAAGTTGGATGTCATTACACAGCAAAGAACAAATAGATTGACAAAAACTTGAGCTTCTTAAGTGATACACACGTACCCTTGGCTTTTTGCCAAAGCTCCTCGTAGACCTTGGGCACTTTGTTCACAAGGAAAGAGCCCTAGCTTTTGCTTCGATTCCGTATTTCTGTTTTCTTCTCCTAATAATAATTTGCGTGTCCAATGTCTATCTTTCTGACAAATAACTAAATAGTGTGAACAAAAAAACAAATAACTAAATAAATAATGAATATATCTTCGGAAGTTTTAAAAAAAAAGTTTAAATATTTATTTGGTGCTTATAATATTGTCAAATTTACATTTTAGTCTTTATAATTAAAAATAATTTATTTTAGTTGTTATACATATCATTTTTATTTTTAGTTTTATAAATTTATTTTTTAGCCTTTATAGCAAATAGATGACAAAATTAAAAAGACACAAATTATATGTATAGGAATTAAAATGAAATCTTTTTTATTATAAATTTAAAAGATAATTTATGAATTATGAATCAAATATATATTTAAACCTTAAAAAAATTAACATGCTTTTTTTGGTATATAGATTTTTTTTTGTCTAATGCACAAAGTGCCTAATATGAAACTAAAAATAAAAAAAAATAAAAAAAAAATAAATTTATTATTATACATCCAACCATTGCTTTTACAAGTATTTAAGAGTGTATTTTCCTTAAATAGTATGTAATAGAATCTGTTTTCCACTTAGTATAAAAAAAATTGACTGTCAAATACTATTTTAATTGTGTGTAGTTTTATAAACACACACACACATATATATATATAT